ATGAAGACTCAGAGATTGTAATCAGTGCAGAAAAGCAACTTTTTATTTTACTAGTATTTCTCCGATGGGTGAGTTCACCATTGTAGACCACGGGATCTTTTCAGAGATGGGTGCTGTATCACATTACCTAATCATAGAGTATGATATAGTTGTGTGACTTGCCCATTTGGATTTTGTCAAGACTTAAAATTAGGGATGTGGCCTCTCTCACTGACAGGTAGCAGCTGGAATGGTTGTACAAGATGACTTTAATGATTAAAAAGAAGAAAAAAAAAGATTTTGGATGCACAAGTTTGGATTTTGAATGAATTAAAATCATACAGAGAGACTTAAATATATACATAAACCCCCAATAAATTTTAGTTTAAATGTTTGACCTTGAACAAACACTTTTAGTTGACATCAACAAGCTTCCAACATAATGCTGGCTGATATTTGACCATTCTTGGCAGAATTTGGAAAGTTCATTTAAATGGGTTAGTTTTCTGACACAGACTCAGATTTTAAGTGTAGTCCACAAATTTGCAATAAGATTTAGGTCCAACACTGGGAAGGCCATTCCTGAAGTTGAATATTAGCCTGCTTTATCCACTTTAAATCCAGTTCTGATGGTTTTTGGAATCATTATTCTGTTGGAGCAGAAAACTCAGTTTCATGTTACATGAAGTTCACGAATTTGGAAGTAGTCCTTTTTCATCTTTATAATTATTATTATTATTATTATTATTATTATTATTATTATTATTATTTTCATCTTTATTAGATTAGCGACTGCTGTTGTGATTTGGCGCTATATAAATAAAATTGAATTGAATATTATTATTATATTATTTATTATCAATCCCTTTTGTTCAATGTACCAGTACTATTGGCAGCAAAACAGACCTAATTGTATTATGCTACCACCACTATGCTTGACAGTTAGTACAGTGTTCTCAGGTATTAAAGCTTCACCTTTACTCTTCCAAAAACAACCATTTCCATTGTGGCCAAGTAGCTCAGTCTTAGTCTCATCTGACAATAAAAACCTTTCTCCAGAAAATGTGGGCAGCAGCAACATTCAGTTGATCAGTCAAAATTGAAGGTGTCAATTTTGGAGCTGTGACTTGGGGGGTTCCTGGATTGTTCCTGAACATCTTAGCCAATTTCCACCCATATGACAGTGACAGTTAATGCAATGATGTGAATAACAGGATTTTAACAAAAAAAATTGCATCAACTTTTTACATAACTTTGGTGCTTTGAAATTGAAATATATATAAATCATACTCAACATGTTGTTGCACTAACAAACTCTGTTTTAATAGATGAGCAACTAAAAACTGTTAAACAGAAAATTTTGTATTTAGCTTTTTGAGTTTACCATGATGTGTGAATACATCAAATAACAGGGTGTTTAGTACTTTTTGTCTCCACCTGCAGATGGAGTGTCGTCATATTATTATTATTTTTTTACATTTTGAAAACTATAAGTGCTTTTTGGAATAATTCATCTGCTCAAAGTTTAAAAACAATACTATAAGGAAAGGTTGATTCTGAATCAGAATGAACCTTTTGGGATCTCCTTACCTGGATGATTGAGCATGCATCGAGACAACACAAGAAGGATGTTGTATGGTTACACATGTGTCATCTAAACGGCAAAGTGAAGCTGCTGTTGTTAAAGATATAAAGTGTAGATGTTGTTGGTTTCGAATTAGGTTTAATTATATGCAGAACACACATGGACCATCAATGTGTGGTTGGCAGCTGTAATCAAATCATCACTAAATGTTTTCTTCTTTTTGTTCCAGTTTCTTCACTCTGTGGGCAGATGAAGCAGCCAAATTCTTTGGGAATCTGTTTTGTGCCGCAACAGAAAGAGAACAGCAGACAGGAGAGAAGATACTGGAGTTGTTATCATCAGTATGCACATATCAAACATTCCCTTTTATTAACAGAGACATAGATGCTCAATATAAATGCAATTTCCTGCTGGATCTGTGCTCCCATGTGAAGGACCATGAGTCTAAAACAGGCTTGAGTGTCCTTCCATCATTACAGTCAGTTTTCCAGTCAGCTCCTGCAGTCTGGTTCATAAACCTCTCAGAGAGAAAGACCTCC